AAAGTATATTCATGCATCAAAAATTGCAGAACGACTTGAACAATTTGCAGAAAAACATTCTACCTATTCATTGCATACTTCGAGCGTCCTGTACGCCGGTCGCACAAAAATCAACTGTCTCCTCTTGTAATAAAAACTAGCCACACATCACGATCATCCTATTTCAAAGCAAAAATTTGAGTTTAAATTCTACCAGACAAACAACAAAAAAAGTATTAGTTCCCGATAAATATACTACATATAACATATATACAAAATATATACTACGAACATACTCTATAAAGTTTTTAAAAACCAACACAATCAATAAACAATATATATACAAAAAAATAAACAGTATATATACCTACAACTATACAAACAACAAAAGAAAGTACAAGTTCGAATAATTTACACCTTCTTTTGTGAATGCTCGTCACATTTCCTGAGGTTCAATCACACTAGCTGCACGTACATCACGATCATCCTATTACAAAACAAAAATTTGGATTTAAATTCTATCATACAAATAACAACAAAAATATACTACATACATATATGCAGAATATATATCACAAACATACTATGTAATGTCCTTAAAAACCAACACAATCAATAAAAAATACATATACAAAAAATATACAATATATACGCAAAAAAATATATGGTATATAACGACCTCTTTTCTTTAATACAATCATACAACCCTCCTTCACCCCCAGATCCAATCGCCACCAACCTTTCTTCTCTCTCGGCCAAACAAAGCCCATTATGCATAAATAGACACGCATATGGGTTGTGCAAAATGGACTGTCAGTTGAAGGGCCGAAATTTAGATTGCTTATTGCTGGGCCATACATTAACTAACCCAGGAAGTACTAAACGAGATAATGTCAATGCTCACTATTCACTAGGCAGAGGTACCTTCTTTTCTTTCTTTTTCTCTTGATATTAGTAATGTGTGCGAATAAATTTAATTTAAAATAAAAGTATATACATTTAGATATTTAGAAATGCTTTCCTACCTACGATTACACATATTAATACGCCCACCGCTTATATGACATGCACACAT